AAATAAAATACCAAAACATTATACCTGATCATTCTGATCTTGTCCTTTCAGATTCATTTGTTAAAAAAAAAATGGGTAGTCGTTATATTTTCTCCAAAAAAAGACTACAGTGTAGTCCCAATAAACTGGCTTGTTGAAACAGAAACCCAGAAATTGTCTACCTGTACAATAGGATATTGTTACTGGCCATCAATAAGGGTAACTAGCACAGACTTAAAAGCTGCTGTAGATCCAGATCAGTCTTGGTGTCAATATAAAATCCGTGTAGTTGGTGGCAACAAGACTTACAGTATGTAAAATTCAACTTCGAATACAATTTCCTTAATGAAACATTTTAATTGCATTTGATTCACTAAAATCGCAATTATAAATCCTTTTCCTTTGTATTTTATTTCAATCCAATCATAAAAATTTGTAATTTCAGTTTATAAATGTATAAGCTCTGATTTAGATTTTTTTTTTCATATTAACTTACCATATGGCTGTATAGGTAATTTCAATAAAGCCTGGCATGAGCGAATTGAAATAGAGTCAACTGACAATGAGAGTATTTTAAATGAACATCATCCATTTAAGAGAAACAAAAAAAATAAAACTGTGGATACTAGTGATAGTAGTGAAAATGAAGGTAAACATTTRATACTTCTATCAAATTACTAACATCAATTGTGTTTTTGAATAACTTATTTATTTTTCTGATTTACTCTTTTTTAAGATTCAACTGGTTATACTATTGTACCTTCTAGTAAACAAAATGAATTGCTGTTTAATACATCACATACTGAATATTCAACACATACTGATACAATTCAAACTCTATATACAAACACACAACAACAACCGTCTATATCAACTTCTACTGATGGCAAAAATTCCATTATTACCCAAGTTGATTCTTACACAAATGTACAGCCAAGTTCTTCTTTTTCGGCAACACCAACTTTTTCTGCAAACCAAGAAAAATCTTATACAGATCTTGAAGTTAGATCATTAACTTCACCAAACTCATCAAACGTCCAAGAATCAAGTATGATGGAACAGTTCACATTTGAACCGTTTTATACAGGATCACAGGTACCTAACATTCTATAAAAATCTAAACTTAATTCAAACAATTTACTTTTAAGATTTTGTATTCAATATTTCATCAGAATGTATAGAAGTGATAATAGGAGGTACCTGCTTAATTAAAATATTTATTAATTATTTTTTGTTTGACAGGTTAATCATTTGGAAGTTYTAAGTCAACCATTATCCCAAGTTTCTCCTGAAGGTAATACATCAATCCATTTATTTATTTTATGAAAAGTATTCAGTATATTATGCTATAGAATCTACTTTATAATTCACTCACATTTGACTTAACTTCATTACATTTCATATAAAGTATAGATAGATACTAAAAAACACTGATATTAGTTTATGATCTTTTTGGCATTAGCTTTAGATATTAAAATACTTTTTAATTTCATAAGATACATTAYACTATAGTTATTACGGAAGGAAATACAAAATATTTACAAAATATTCATGAAGAGCTTATTGCAAATCGCTTGATGAATCAAAGGCTCTGGAATATGATGAATAGCTTAAAAGACGATATTAAAA